GTAGAGGAAGACTTGGAAGGATAATAATGTAAGTGAGCAGATACCCAGACAGCTAGGCTACCACAGGCAAAGGCACAGCAGAGTCACTCAACCTCCTTCAACTTTAATTTCCTTGTCTGGCTCTCTAATCAGAAGTGTCTAAACAACTAGACCAATGAGAAGTGAAATTCAGAGGACCCAGACGGACCCTCCGAACCAAAAAATTCCACTTCCCGCTTCTTGCCCAATTCTGGAAATTCTTCTCATGGGACCCAAAGACTTTTCTCTTTAGTAAATGACAACAATTTAAACGCAAAGGCGCTTAAAAGAGGCAAAACAACCGAGAGACTAATTTATACTAAAGTGTGGATGTCTGATAGGGACGGTCCCACCCCAAGAACAGGGTTTCGCAACAGGAGAGCTTAGAGCAATGGATGCTGAAGAAGGAGACAGGTGCATCAAGGGACTGGGAACAGAGACTAGAACCGGGACGCTGGGGACACCAGAGACATACTTCCCCGGGTAAAAGTGTTGCCGACCCCAGTTGGGATTCGTGTCGTCCTTAAGTGCATGTTAAAGGTGACCCATCTGGCCTTTTGGTCCAGCCTGGCGGTGGCTGCCATTCCGGAGGGTCTGCCCATCGTCGTCACGGTTACGCTGGTCCTGGGGGTGCTGCGGATGGCCAAGAAGCGGGTCATTGTGAAGAAGTTACCGATCGTGGAGACGTTAGGTGAGGGACTCCGCTGGTTGAATTCCTGCAAACGGGATCGGATGGGTGGGAGTTCCGCCTGGGTGTTTCATCGGCCTGAGAGGTGATGGTGATGATTCCTCTTTGCCATCAACTGGGGTTTTCTCGTGCCAGGTTGCTGCAGTGTTATCTGCTCCGATAAGACAGGGACTCTGACGGCCAACGAGATGACGGTCACCCAGCTGGTAACGTCCGATGGGCTCCACGCCGAGGTGAGCCCCGTGCCGATTTACCCGGTTCCAGCCAAAGGTCTGCCCTGCCAGCCCCTTTCCTTCGTGAAGAAAGCACACGGAACCTTCTAGCAAGCAATAAGGAAGAAACAAACACGGGTGGTTGTATAGTTTCCCTGCCACCCACAGCAGCAAGGAATGTGACCGAGTTAAGGGAGCCACCTTTATGTTTTCACAATTACCTTTTAGTCATAAGCACATTATGTAACGTAGAAGTTAAAAACACGGTTACCCACAATCCCCTGTGAGAAACTGATCGTGACAGTCCCTTTGGGTTTTTTGGTCTCCCTCCTGTACCTCTGGCACAGTTATAAGCTCCCGGAACGTGCAGTTTTGTTTCCTGCTTCCCCCCCCCCACAACCCCAAACCTTCCAGATTAAGGGGCTCTCTTCTGTGCTATTACTTTGTTTTCTTAACCATACTTTTCCCTGGCTCCCGAATAGCCCATGGAATCAGCTTGTTGCAATTTCTTTGTTTTTAATTCTAATTTTTGAGAGAGCGCGGGAGCAGAGGAGGGGCACCGAGAGAGGGAGGCAGGGTCCGAAGTGGGTTCCGCACAGGGAGCGGAAAGCCCCAAGTGGGGCTCGAACTCACGAGCTGCCAGATCATGACCTGAGTCGAAGTCGGATGCCCAACTGACTGAGCCCCCCCCCACCCCGGGCGCCCCAAGCTTAGAGAAGTTTTGAAAGCATGGCACTTAGTGAGGTTTTCTGGTTAACACACGGTCTGCAGGGACCATTCTCCTGCTTGCAGCCTCGTTGGTGGGTAGGATTATGTCCTTGGGGTGGGTCTCCCAGAAAAGAGATGAGGGGACAATCGGGGGCGTGTATTACTGACACGTGGTGACATCCTCTCTGTGGCTTTGCCCTGCAGGTCAGCGGAGTTGGCTATAACGGCAAAGGGACTGTGTGTCTGTTACCCTCAAAGGAGGTCGTTAAGGAGTTTAACAACGTCTCGGTGGGGAAATTAGTAGAGGTGAGTGTCAAAGCCCCACGGGTGGAAACAGACATTTAAAAGGAGCTGACGGTTATTCTCTCAGAAGGGAGGAACAATCGATGGCTCCCGGCTACTGGACCAACCAGGTGTTGGTGACCATTGGGCCTCCCGCCCCGCCCCCGCCAGGGGTCAGGTGTCACAGGGGCCCAGAAATAGTTGGGAACACCGGAAGTAAGAGAGAGCTGGAGCCCTCCCTACTCCTCCCTGCCTGCTGGACAGGCGTTAAAGAGGTGCCTGCAGAGGGTGGGTGTTCATTGAACGCCAGACAACGAGCCTGTTTAATTGTCGACACGAGTTGTATTAGCCAGACTCACGCCTCCCACACACCCAGTGCCCTCCGAGGTGTGAACTGAGCCGCTGTCTTCTAGAATTTGTCGTGAGCTGTGAAGGTCCCGCCTCACTGGTGCCACTTAACTATCCCAGCACCCCTTCGAGGCCGAGGCCCGTCCTGTGATCTCAGTGCGCAGATTAAGAACCGGGCTCAGAGAGGTGATGTGCGTGCCCAGGAGGGAGGGAGCTGGGGTTCACCCCCACGCGCGTTTCGTGTGTTTCCTTCTATTATTTTCATTGTCTTTTTAAATTGAGAGTGACGGGCCTGTACCCCAAAATTCTCCCCTTAAAAAAAATTTTTTTTTTTACATTTATTTATTTTTGAGAGACAGAGAGAGACAGAGCACAAGTGGGGGAGGGGCAGAGAGAGAGGAAACACAGAATCCAAGGCAGGCTCCAGGCTCCGAGCCGTCAGCACAGAGCCCGACGCGGGGCTCGAACTCACAAGCCATGGGATCATGACCTGAGCCGAAGTCGGACGCTCAACCCACTGAGCCACCCAGGCACCCCAGAATTCCCTGCTTTAAATTAAGCATATGGTTCACTGGTTTTAATACCTTCACAGAGTTGTGCAGCCACTGCCACATCCAATTTCAGGACACTGTCACCCCAAGCAGGAAGCCCATACCCATCAGGGGCCACTCTTATCACCCCAGCCTCCCCACCATCCGGCCTGTGACAGCCAGGGTTCAGCAGAGTCAGTAAATGTTCACTGTGTTTATTTTGGGTTTTTTTTGTTTTTGTTTTTGTTTTTGTTTTTAATTTTTTTTTCAACATTTTTTATTTATTTTTGGGACAGAGAGAGACAGAGCATGAACAGGGGAGGCGCAGAGAGGGAGGGAGACACAGAATCGGAAACAGGCTCCAGGCTCCGAGCCATCAGCCCAGAGCCCGACGCGGGGCTCGAACTCACGCGAGATCTCGCGAGATCTCGCGAGATCGTGACCTGGCTGAAGTCGGACGCTTAACCGACTGCGCCACCCAGGCGCCCCTCACTGTGTTTATTTTTAAGAGCGGGGACTGGGATGCATTTTTTTTTTTTTAATTTTTTTTTTCAACGTTTTTTTATTTTTATTTTTGGGACAGAGAGAGACAGAGCATGAACGGGGGAGGGGCAGAGAGAGAGGGAGACACAGAATCGGAAACAGGCTCCAGGCTCCGAGCCATCAGCCCAGAGCCTGACGCGGAGCTCGAACTCACGGACCGCGAGATCGTGACCTGGCTGAAGTCGGACGCTTAACCGACTGCGCCACCCAGGCGCCCCTGGGATGCATTTTAAAGAGTACGTCTTGCCCCTCACGCCCACCCCGGGCCTCGCCCCCCAAATGGGTCAAGCCTGCAGCGTGTGGCTTTTTCACATGCCTGAGTGAGCCCAGGACCCCGAGGGGGTGCCAGCTCCCAAGAGTTAACTGCAGATCTTCCAAAATCCCGCCTTTCAGGCAGGCTGTGTGGCCAACAACGCCATCATCAGAAAAAACGCCGTGATGGGACAGCCCACGGAAGGCGCCCTGATCGCCCTGGCAATGAAGGTAGGGACCCTTTGATGGTCTACACCGGGAGGGCTTCCGCTGGGGGCTGGATGAGGGGCGGAATTCGGGCGCCTGTCTGAGCAAATGAGGAGTGGAGAAGCTTAGTAACAATGGAGAGAGCGGCCCCGAACATCCTTAGGCTGTCGCCGGCTGGTGGAGGCGATGGGCTCTGAGATGCTGTGTGCTTCTGGAACATTCTGCAGGCCTCTAACCCTTCCCGACCATCCCACAAGAATCCTGGGGCATCCCGTGGCTCAGTCCCCACGGAGGCGCTGGGGAGACAGAGGAATGACCCACCTGGTGGCCCCCGAGCTCCCGTGCAGGAAGACCCCTTCCTTTTAGTGCATTTGACGGATCGCAGGGCTCCGTGGTCAGACCCTGAGTCTGTGGCTTTGCAGAAATGCCCCCATTCTGTGCCCAGAGCTAGGCGGGGAGCCGCTGCCTCGGGTGTTGAGGGGTGGGCGGTGGGCGGGCCGGGTAACTGCTCCGCCTTGGGCACAAACAGGAGGTCTGATCACACCCCTCCCCAGAGGGACCCAGGCCCACCTCGGGGTGCCCGTCCTGCACCAGCTGAGCCCCGCGTCCTCCTCAGCCCCTGTGCCCCTTCCTCCTGCTGCCTCTGGTGCTGGGTCCCCTCTGTCCTTCCTCCCACGGCTGCGTCGGGCTCTCCCTTCAGGTTTACTTCGCTTCCCTCCCTCATCCAGGCCCCCAGGACGGCTTCTCCGTCCGTCTGTTCCCCTGCCCCTCCCCCAGCCCAAGACCCAGCTACCCATCTCTGCCAAGTTCAGGCAGACAGTGCTGCAAGGTTGGGTTGAGGAGGGGGAGAAGAGTCACCCTCTGAATAAGTCCCTGTAGGGGCGCCTGGGGGGCTCAGTCGGTTGAGCGTCCGACTTCGGCTCAGGTCGTGATCTCGCCGTCCGTGAGTTCGAACCCGGCGTCGGGCTCTGTGCTGACAGCTCGGAGCCTGGGGCCCGCTTCGGATTCTGTGTCTCCCTCTCTCTCTGTCCCTCCCCCGCTTACGCAGTGTCTTCCTCTCTCTCTCTCTCTCAAAGATAAATATTTAAAAAAAAATAACAGTAGGGCACCTGAGTGGCTCAGGGGGTTAAGCGGTCGACTTTTAATTTAGGCTCAGGTCACGAGTTCGAGCCCCGCATCAGGCTCTGTGCCAACAGCGCAGGGCTTGCTTGGGATTCTCTCTCTCCCTCTCTCTCTCTCCCTCTCCCCTACTGTCTCTGTGTCTGTCTCTCTCTCAAAATAAATAAACTTAAAACAGAAAGTCCCTATAACTGTAAACAAGCTATGTTAAGAAACTGTTACACTCAGGGAAGAAAATTCTTTCCAGGATGACAGTCATACCGACTAGACCTTACTGCCTCTTCCGAGAGGGCCCCGGCTGGCCCTGTTCAACCGCAGGCTGCCGTCCGGGACGGGGACAGTGGCCCGACTGTCCCAGCAGGAGAGAACCCCGGTGTGGGGTCTCCACCCCTGCTCCCGCCGCCTGCCTCCCGTGCAGCCCAGAGAGGACCGATGTTCCAGAACCCCTCTCCTTTACGGGTCACGATTTACTCTTCCGTGGGCCGGAACCAGTAGGGGAGCCTGGTGACAGCTGACGTGTATGAAGTGCCTCCCGTGACCGTGTGGCAGGCTCGGTGCTCGGGGCTCTGTGTTTATCATGTCCGTCCCCGAACCCGTCTCAGGGTCGAGGTCAGTGGTTCTGAACCATTTCTCCACTGTCACGCTAGCTTCCCCGCAGTGGCTGAAATAAAGGACTGCCACCTGAGTGCCTGCAACAGCAGGAATTTACTCTGTCACGGTTCCCGAAGCTGGAGGTCTGAAAGGAAGGTGTGGGCAGCGCCCTGGTCCCCTCCCCTCCACCTGTGACCAGTCATGCCAGATGCTCCTTGGCTCACGGACACGTCTTCACGTGGCCCTGTCCCCTTCGTCCAAGGACCACCCGTCTTATCGGATCTGGACACACGCGAACGACCTCATCTTAACTTGGTTCCACCCCCCGAGACCCTGTTTCCAAACAAGACCACGTTCGCAGACACTGAGGGGTTAGGGCGTCGACGCGTCTTTTGCAGGGTCATTCACAAGACCTTCCCGAAGAGCCTTTTCGGGCATTTCTTTTGTTCCTGATCAGTCCCCATGAGATTTAATCCCACAGATAGACTCTCTGTCTGGGTGCTGTATGGATAAAGGAGTAGATTCTTGCCTCCTCAGAACCCATTTTCTCCTGTTGGCGGGGGGGGGGGGTGCGTGGGATGCATGGGTGGGGACTGGTATACAGCTGGGGAAACTGAGGCTCAGAGATGTCAAGTAACTGGCCCGAGGATGGTCCGCGAATGTCAGGCCTGGCAAGGACCCCGGGCTGTGACAGCAACCCACCCCACCAAGCGGGGCTTCTTTGGGGGGAAACTGCTACCTCTTTGAGTCTGGAACATTCCTCCTGGAGGGGAGCCCACGGGCTTTTGTTTCTGAGCACGTTTTGGCCAGAAGCTGTCGCCAGGACCAGCTGGCCCTGCCCCTGGAACAAGAGAGGAGACTTTTTTTTTTTTTTTTTTTTTTTTTTTGGGGGGGACTTTTGAAAGCAAATGGCCTTTCTCTGTGAGCTAAACGCTGGGATTCCTTACCTGCCGGAAATGGCTTGACGAATGAATAACGGAGGCGGCCTGAGCTTTGCAGCGAGGCTGGCTCAGGATGACTCACGAGAAGCGTGGCATTTGCTTTTCCTAGATGGGCTTAGCTGGTGTTAAAGATTCCTACGTGAGAAAAAAGGAGATTCCGTTCAGCTCGGAGCAGAGGTGGATGGCAGTGAAATGCAGCCCCAAGACTGTGGTGAGTTTTCTTCTCTGCCCCTTCCCACCCTCTCCCCTGCACCCCGAAGGAAGCAGAATACAGGTGTCGAGGAGGAAAGCTGAGCGCTCCCAGCTGCTTCCACGGAGGGTCAAATACAGGACCGTCCGGCTGATGGCACTCAGACCTTTGATCATTTGGCGTCTCCTGCCGAGATTTTGGTCCGAAACGGTGGTGGTTCTCAAGGTGGGCTTCCCAGACCAGTGGCATCCCCCGGGGAATCGGTTAAAAATGCAGCTTCTCTGGATGTCAATTTTTTAAAAATTGAAAATAGAATGTAAAACAAAATGCAGATTCCCAGGCCCCACCCGGAACCCCTGAGTCCGAAATCTCGGGAGCGAGAGCTGGTAGTCACCTGTGCGTGCGGGGAATTTTGACGTGGGCTCCCACCGTTAGCAGCAAACCCTCTTGCTAACTTGGAGGTCCCTTCTTAACATCCTGGTGCTGAGTTCTTTCCAAGCACGAGTGCCTCAGATCGTCACCAGGTGGGGACAGCCCTTCAGCCCTGCGGGGGACCAGGAGGCGCATCCCAGCACCCACCCCAGACGGTGTGAACGGCGAGCTCACGTGTCATCCGTGCGCGCCCACAGATACACCCTTGCGCTCACCTTCACATCTTGTTTTTCTCCCCAAAGACCCTGGTAATATATTCTCGCTGAAATAGATTCTAGAAACGGGACTTAAAAACGGAAGCACCGTATAATCCCGCCCTTCGTGTCTCCCGACCCAAGGCAGCCCCCCTCCACGGTCTGGGATGGGACCTTTGAGGTCCTAAACATGCAGAGAGCAACGTACGGGGTGGTAGTTTTGAAACTAGGTCGTGCTGTGTGTGGGGTTTGTAATTTGCTCTCTCCCCTTTCAGCGATGTCTCAGACATCTTTCCGTATCGGTTCACACAAGCTCATCCCCCCGCCCGCCGTGAGCTTTCAGGCGCCGTGCTAATGCCGGGGACGGTGTGACCCGGGCTGTCACGACGCCTTCCGCGTGGAGCTTACCATCCGCAGGAGACCGAGCTTAACGAATACACAGGAGAACGGTTCGGGGCTCCATGAGCTCCGTGCAGGGGTGAACAAAACAGAAAGGGGACCTGCCCTCGGGAGGCAACAGTCCCAGTGGAAATAGACGTCCCGCAGTCAGTCACACACATAAAGGCCTAACAGCGGCTGGGGCGTGGCTGATGACACGTATGGGATGCTCTCGGTGACGTTAACAGGGCACCTGATGCACAGAGAGGCTGCGGATCAAAGTTCTCCAAGGAGCCGACCCAAGGATGCAGCCACTTTCCTTTTCTTCTTTTCCAAGGACCAGGAAGACGTTTACTTCATGAAGGGGGCCTTCGAAGAGGTGATTAATCACTGTACCTCGTACAACAACGGAGGCCTCTCCCTGCCACTGACGCCCCAGCAGACAGCCTTGTGCCAGCACGAAGAAAAGAGGATGGGGTCTCTCGGCCTGCGGGGTTGGTACCTCTCGTCCCCAGCGCCACGCTTTAAGTGTGCAGCATTGACCTTCCGGGTCAATGGCCACGTGAAAGGCAGAGAGGCCCCCCCCCCGGCCCACCTCTGCCACCATGTGACACCTGTTAGTCCGGACGCGGCGCCTGTGGGTTTCCCGACGTGTGACTGAGGCGCCCCAGAAACGCTGATTTTCCCGATTGGTCGTCCTGCTCGTCGACCACGGTCGGGAAAACCCAAAGCTCTTTCGCATCAAGGCAGACGTTTCATTCCTCGGCCATTTCCAGTCTCCTGCATCGGGGATGCCGCCTTCCCCGATGAGCTGGAAACTCGGGTTTCCCACAGTGCCTGTCTGTTTTCAGAGAAGCGCTCTGGAACCCGTGGGTTCCCTCCGGGGAAAGTGAGAAGCCTGGGGCCGGGTGTCAGTTGCCTTGGGTTTTCCCTGCGGGAAACAGACGTTGTAAATTGCTAGCAGCTTGCTGATAAGGGGGCGAGGCGAGGCGAGGCTGAGACAGAGCCTGGCAGGGCGGGGAGGGGAGCCTGGGGAAAGGGAGGCTTGGCACCCGCAGCCTTGGCATCTGTACCAATGGTACACGCACTGAAACAGAGTCAAGGCCGGGACAAGCTCCCAGACAGAGTCCTCCTACCCCTGGGGCCCGCGGGGGACCTCCCACGGCTCTCGGTGTCTCCTCAGTGCTGGCCCTGGCTTCCGGACCCGAGCTGGGGAGGCTGACTTTTCTGGGTCTCGTTGGAATCATCGACCCTCCGAGGGCCGGCGTGAAGGAAGCGGTGCAGGTTCTCCGCCAGTCGGGCGTGTCCGTGACGATGATAACAGGAGATGCTCTGGAGACCGCCTCTGCTATAGGTGAGTGGGGCGCAGTGGGCGCCGGGCCGGGAGGGGTCCCCTCCCGCGGGGCTGCTCCTGCGGGTTTGGGCGCGCCCCCCCCCCCCCACCTACTGTGAGCTCGCAGAGACCCTGAGGTTCACAGGCCGGCTCTCCCCCCCGACAGAGACGGCTGTCTCTAAAGTGTCGGCAGGTGCCCCGAAGGGGGCAGAGCCGTCCGCGGGCTCCTCAGCCGTGACCTCACCGCCTCTTCCCAGACAGCATCTGCCCGTGTCCGGGTTCTGGTCTGGTTCTGTGTGCCCCGGGCGGGTCACTGAACCACCCTGGCCTCCGGGCTCTTCTCCCACAGGGGGCCGGCCACCCCCCACCCCCCACCACTTCTCGTTCTTCTTATTCACGTGACTGGTTCTCCCTGCTCTGTCTCAAGGCACCCGGCGCTGTGAAAAAATCAGACTCTAGAATCAGACAAAACCACGTCAGGTCCCAGCATCGCCGCTCGGCAGCTCTGGGACCTGGGGGAGGTCACTCCCCTCCGTTTCCTCATCGTTAAAGCAGGGACAATAAGGCCTTAGTTCTGTGGATGGAATTGGGATCATGTCGCGTAGCAGGTGCTCGGTGGGGGGGGGTCGCCGTCGCGGCTCTGCTGTGCTCGTGGTCTGCGGCCCAGGCGGGGCCTGATGTCAGGCAGGGGGAGTGAGGGGCGGGAGCGGGCCCTCAGAGCAGGCTCTCTGCACCTCGCAGGAAGGAGTATTGGCCTGTGCAATGGGAAGCTGAAAGCCATGTCCGGGGAGGAGGTGGAGAGCACGGGGCAGGACGAGCTGGCTGGCTGTGTCGGGGCGGTGGGGTCCCCCCCCGGGGGGCCCCGGGGGGGGGGGGGGGGGGGGGGAGTTTCAGCCCCAAGTTCACGGACTCTTCTCCGCCTCTGCGTCCAGGTTTCTGTCTTCTTCAGGACCAGCCCAAAGCACAAGCTCAAAATCATAAAGGTAAGCTGTGTGCCTCATGCGTCTGTTGGGGTCAGTCCAGGGCGGTGGCTCTGCCCCCGGGGGGAGGTCCTGGGTCCAAGCTGGCAGGAGCGTCGGCCGTCCTCAAGCCGTGCTTCTTTCTCTAGGCCCGGGACGGCTGCACCAGGCGGTGCCTTTGCCCAGCCCCCGGGGAGGGGAGAACGGGCTGTCCTTGGCCACGTACAGCAAAAGCAGGAGCAGGAATTGGGTGGTGCGGAGGGCAAACTAAAAAGCAGGCAGTCTCTGTTAGTCGAGCGCTCTGGCATTATTCTTGTTACCGAACTCCAGGCCTCAGTTTCCCAGTCTGTAAACCGGGGTTGTATGGATGACGTCAGCCAACTCACAAGGCTAGTGAGAGGATTCCAGGAGGCCGGGCCGTGCGGCTCTTGGCGCAGCACCTGGCACACGGCGGGTGCCCGGTGGAGACTGGATGTGATTTTCTGCCTGTGCCCGGGGGAGGGCGCTGCTGGTGCGCTGGGTCTCCTCCCCGGAAGCGCTTTGAAAATGAGCTCTTGGGGCGCCTGGGTGGCTCGGTCGCTTAAGCATCCAGCTTCAGCTTAGGTCGTGATCTCACAGTTCAGGAGGTCGAGCCCCACATCGGGCTGTCTGCCGTCAGCACAGAGCCCGCTTTGGATCCTCCGTCTCCCTCTCTCTCTGCCCTTCCCTTGCTTGCACGCACACGCTCTCGCTCTCCCTCCAAATAAATTTTTTTTATTTTTATTTTTTTTATTTTTATTTAAAAAAAAATTTTTTTTAACGTTTATTTTTGAGACAGAGAGAGACAGAGCATGAATGGGGGAGGGGCAGAGAGAGAGAGGGAGACACAGAATCGGAAACAGGCTCCAGGCTCCGAGCCGTCAGCCCAGAGCCCGACGTGGGGCTCGGACTCACGCGAGATCACGCGAGATCTCGCGAGATCGTGACCCGGCTGAAGTCGGATGCTTAACCGACTGAGCCACCCAGGCGCCCCTCTCCAAATAAATTTTAAAAAAGAGAGAAAGAAAAGGTGTTCTTTAGCTCTGTGCTGTTTTATTCTTCGTGCTGTTTGGGGGGCTTTAGCTCTAGGGAGGAAACCTCCATGCAAGTCATTCCTAAGACTTACTTAATCCCATGGGGCACTGCGTGGTTTCAGGGGTAAGTTGTGGACTTTTGTTTGTTACTGGAGAACACGAATGAGCCTTCACTCACCTCCTCTTTCCAAAGGCTTTGCAGGAGTCGGGGGCAGTCGTGGCCATGACGGGGGACGGGGTGAACGATGCGGTTGCCCTGAAGTCTGCGGACATCGGGATTGCCATGGGGCAGACGGGGACAGATGTCAGCAAAGAGGCTGCCAACATGATCCTGGTGGATGATGACTTCTCGGCCATCATGTGAGTGGCTCCATGGCTGGTTTTCAGCGGCAGAAATGCCCGCGATGACCCGCTGCCCCCCTCGGGACATGCCCCCTTCACGGCCTGAGGGTGCATCCGACGGGCGAGCCGGGGTCAGGTGCACAGACGGAGGCGGGCTCCCATGTGTCGGCCGCAGCACCGTCTGTGGGGAAATCCTAGGCCACCCTAACTGCCGACAGCAAGGGCGGGAGTGCCACGAAGCCACGAAACATCACGTTTTGGGGAACGTTTTAAAGACGGAGAAATGCTCACATTGTGGGGTTAAGTGAAAAACGCTAAGAGTGAGCATGTGCGGCTGGAGGGCCCGTGTTTGTGCGGATGCGTATGTTTCATGCGCTGAAAGCGACGAACGACGGGGCAGGAGCTCTAATTGTTGGCCCTCGTGTGATCGCAAGCTCCCGAGATTGCAAAACACCTGGTTTCTTGTTTCCCTTCCCTCTGGTCTGATTTTAATTCGTTCTCATCGAGACTTTACTCATAAATCCATTGTAATAATTGGGGGTGGCACGGAAGTTTTCTTAAGCCTGCTGTCAGAACTCTGAATGAGCAAAAAACTGAAGTTGGGTGCGATTTTTGACTTTACGGAGGAGTCTTGTCTTCGTAAATGGATTGACTCACCCTAGGAATCCTTAGCCCCCTTCCCCCTTAGTTAAAAAAAAAGTCCTGAGATGCAGTTGATAAATAACTCTGTAGTTTTAGTTCTTTTGCAAAAAAAAAAAAAAAAATTAGAAAAAAAAGGGTTAGGCAGTTTTCTGCATTCGTGACTCAAGATCAAGGTTTTTAAAGGACCTTTACGGTTTTCTGAACATACCAAGGATGTTTTTCAGCCTAATTCTCTCCCCCCCCCCCCCGGCCCCCCCCCTGGGGCGAATTAGCAGGTTTGATCCGTCTTGCTGTGCCTGTCGCCCAGATGCATCTCTGGGTTGCAGTCAGTGCTTCCCAAGTCCCGGGTGAGGGCGGGGTCCCTGGGCTCAGGCGGGAGAGTAATCTATGGTCTTCGTACAGAGGGTGATCATGGCCTGCGGTCCGGGCCCCCGCGGCGGGTGGTGCTGGCCAGGCCACCGTCCTCCTGTACCTCTCTGTCCTGGAGCCGCCAGCGGGGGGAAGGGGAAGGGGTGCCTGCGTGCGAGGCCACCTGCGGTGACACCATCGCTCCCTCCCACGGCTGCCGGAGGTGCCCGGACGCTCCCAGCGGGCCCTCTGCGAAGAAACGCTCTGTCCTCTTGCAGGAACGCGGTGGAGGAAGGCAAGGGGATTTTTCATAACATCAAAAACTTCGTGCGGTTTCAGCTGAGCACGTAAGTCAAGGCCGGCGTCTCCGAGGGCCGTCGGGCTGCGCGTGCAGCCATCGACGGTGCCCGGTGTGTGGCCCGCAGGAGCATCTCGGCCTTGAGCCTCATCACTCTGTCCACCGTGTGCGACCTGCCCAGCCCGCTCAACGCCATGCAGATCCTGTGGATCAACATCATCATGGACGGGCCACCGGCGCAGAGGTGAGGCGCCGGGCTGTCCGCGAGGCTCCACCGCCCGCCCACTCTGCCGTCTCGGGTCCCTTGCACCGAGTACGGGACGCTGTCCCCGGGAGTCCTGCAAAGCCGGAGTGTGGCGCACTGCGGGGAAGACAGCCAGCGGGATGCCCTGGGCATGGGGGGGAGCACCTGCATGGGCAGCCGGCGGAGGGGGGGATGTGCTCCCTGGGTGACTCCACGCCTCAGTCCCTCTCTTCACGTCCCCACTTGGGAGATGTCCTCCGTGATCGCTCTAACAGCAGCCCCCGGGCTCTCCCACTCTGCTTTATTTGTCCCTAGAGGAGAAAATACGTATGTCCTTGTTTATCTGATTATGACCCGTTTCCCCTACGGCAAGGTTTTTGTTCCTTGTAGCATTTCCCGGCTCCCGGGACGGTGCCGGGCACACAGGAGGTGGTCGGCGAGTTAGTTGTTGGGTGGATGAGGGAGGGTGAGGGTAGCTGAACAGGCAGGAGGAAGAACCACCTTCAGAGTCGGGGAGCCAGACATCCAGGAGCAAGCGAGGCACTGGGTTCGAGCACACAATACATGCTGTTGTTGATTATGTATGTGTGTGTGATATAAATGGGATACATATATGTCACCGTGAATTATCACAGTTGTCGCCGCTGAGGGCAGGAGTCCCGCTTTGTCCCTCCGGGCCCAGGGGGAGGTCCCTCTTCACACGCTGGGAGCAGGGCCAGGAGGGAAGTTGGCGGCAGCCGTCTCTGCAGCCGGCTTCCTCCTCGGTGCCCCGCGTCCCGTCTTTTGCTGGTCTAGCCCCAGTCCCGCTGTTGCGCATTCGGCTGAAGGCGGGTCCCTAGGGGGCGGTGTCTGGACCCTGTTTCTCCAGCCTGCTGGGCGTCCCCTTGTGATGGAAGCTGTGCGATCATGAGGGGTGACCCAGAGTGGCTCCAGGACGGTGGTGTGGTTGGCTTGGGGGTGGTTTTCCCCTGCCGTGCTCAGGGACGGGTGTGTGGCTGCCCTGGCGCCCAGGCCGGTGGGGTGGGGGGTGGGGACCCTGGAAGGAGTTAGGGCGAGGGCAGAGGATGTGAGGGGCGGGCTTCCAGCAAGGACGGAGAAGTCCCCCTAAGAGTGGGACCAGACTGAGCTCCTGCCAACGACCTGGGGGCACTTGGCCAAAGCCCCCTCTTTGCTGTGTCTTCGGGGCTGACCTGAGAGCCTGTACAGCTTCAGCACTTTAAGTGTCCTCGCGGTTTATGTCAAGGTTCCCCTGTCTTGTTCCGAGCAGCTTGGGGGTAGAGCCGGTTGACAAAGACGCCCTCCGACAGCCACCGCGGAACGTCAAGGACACGATTCTCGGCAAAGCCCTGATCCTGAAAATCCTCCTGTCGGCTGCTGTCATCATCAGCGGGACCCTCTTTATCTTCTGGAAAGAGGTGGGGCAAGTTCTCACTGGCTCGGCCTGTATTCGCTAAGCCCCTGTGGTGGGAGCCTAGCGGCTGTGCACCAAGCACCGGGGATGGTCCCCGCCCGGGCGCGTGGGGCTCCGGCTCTGACTGGGGAGACAGGTGCACATACCGGGGGCTGTCCCTGAGGCGGGGGGCAGGGGACCAGGAGCTGACTTTGCAGAGGTGGGGACAAGGCGGAAGGATAGGAAGCCCCCCCGGCAGGGAAAAAAATCATTTTGTTCTAAAAGGGACCCGATGCCCCTGCCACTTTCTATGGTCACCAGGAAACAATTTGCAATCTATTAGAAGGAAGTCCGTCGTGTTCCCTGGAGGTGATTATTTGAGGGAGCTTAGGGGCCACCTGTCGGTGGCTCCAGGGGCCCCCGTGCTGACACGCGGTGCTCTCGGTGGAGACCCAGGCAAGTGGGGGCAGGACACGGGACCACCGCAGATTCTGTTTTTCTCCAGCCCCGCCCCCCAGAGGAGGGGCCTTGCGTTTTCCCCAGTTCTCACCTGCCCGGGAAGGTGGTGTGGCCGCCCGTGTCCAGCCTGTGCTCCACCTGCGGGAAGGGGACCCAGGCCCTCCTGTGCCAGCACGGTGGGCCTCAGTGTGGGGGGGGCCCCCCAGGGGCTCTGGAGTCAGGCTCCAACTCACGCCACCCCGGCCAGGGCGTCTGCGGGGAACCCTGGGACAGTCATAAGCTCGGGCAGGAAGGATCCGCCTCCCCTCAGGCAGGGAAAGTTCTCACCTTGGCTCCAGGCCAGGCCCGGGAGGAGACCTGCCTCAGGTCCCTACAGCAGCACCAGGGAGGGTGTGCATCCTCTGTCTGTGACACTCGGTGGATGCAGCTATAGCCCTGTCCTGTCCCAGGAGGCAATGTCACCTGCTGCAGGAAGGGATGCTCCCTTTACCTGTGCAGGGTTTCAGCTCGGGGGGGGGGGGGGGGGGGGGGGGGGTCGTGAGACACCCCCCTTACTCCAGCCCAGGGGGCGGTCGTGATCAGTTCCTAGCAGAGCCGCTCTCTGCTGGGCGCTCCAGGCCCCTCGAGTTCCTGCTCCCTCCGTGCTCATCATCACGAGAAGCACCCCCCTTCCCGGGGCCCGCCCACCCTGCGCTCCTCTGTGTTCCAGATCCCCGCAGACAAGGCGAGCACCCCGCGTACCACGACCATGACCTTCACCTGCTTTGTGTTCTTCGACCTCTTCAACGCCTTGACCTGCCGCTCTCAGGTGAGCCCTGGGCTGCCCTCCCCTCCCTTCCTGGCGGGACCCAGTCGTGCTCTCGGGGACGAATGGTGCGGCCGCGGCCCGAGTAGGCCTCTGTGAGCATCGCCCTCTGAGCCGTGGCTTGTGACCCGGCTGACACGTGCCCTTCTCCTCCCACAGACCAAGCTGATATTTGAGATCGGCTTTCTGCGCAACCGCATGTTCCTGTACTCGGTGCTGGGCTCCATTCTGGGCCAGCTGGCCGTGATTTACATCCCGCCCCTGCAGAAGATCTTCCAGACGGAGAACCTGGGTGCCCTCGGTGAGTGGGCGGGGACGTGAGGGGTCAGCAGAGGCCGGGGCCTGGGCGCCGACACGCGGTGTTCCAGGTGCGAAGTCCCTGCGTGTGCCCGGCCGGCCGCACGGGGTGGGAGGGCGATGTGATGGGGTCATGGAGTACACGGGGAAGCAGAGGATGAGGCACCTCCACCGGGAGGGCCACCGAGGGCAGAAGGGGACACGGCCTCCCGGCCCCCCTGTCCCAGGGCTGGCGGCTCAGAGCGACGCAGCAAGGCCCGGGGGCTGCGCCATGGCGGGTGACAGTACCGGCTCATTCTGCCCCCGCTGGCAGGGGGCTCGTGGGTCTTGGGCACCCGCTGACCCCAAGACAGGGAGCAGGCCACCCAGCAGCTCGGGCTAAACACAACATGATTCAATGACCGCGGCCGTCCAGGGCCCCGAGCGCACCTGCCCCGGAGTGGAATCCTGGGGCTCCCCTGCCTCCCCGCCCAGGCGGACGCGATTCCAGCCTTTTCTTTGTGAGCTGCCTGGGGTGACTGGCCGCCTTTGCCTGAAGCTAACAGAGCACACAAGTGGGAGGAGGGGAGGGGTGGGGGGAGGAAGGGAGGGGTGGGGGGAGGAGGGTACCTGAGCAACAGCAGTGACCGGAGCCACTTACGTGGTGGGAGCCAGCAGGTGGGGAGGCCGGCGTAGGTCATGGCCACAGGTCATGACACGGTCTGGTCTGAGGTGCTGGACACGACTGCTCGGAGCACGAGGCCGGGGTGGGGGGTCTCTGCCCTCAGGATGGATGGGGGGAGGGTCCTGTTACTGCCGGAGGGGGTAGCGCACCCCCACCCCAGCCCTGAGCCCCCTGGAAGGAAGGGGTGGTCCTGTGGAGCTGCACGGACATCCGTCCCTCCCGGGAGGGGAAGTCCTGGTCCTCGGCTCCCGGGTCCTCGCCCCTCACCTCCGGGCTCTCTGCGACCAAAGCGGAGACGTAGGGAAGGGAGCCTCAGGGTGGCACCGTGCACTCTGACCCCCATTTTCTTTCCACCTTTTTGCAGACTTGTTGCTTTTAACCGCACTGGCTTCATCCGTGTTCATTTTGTCAGAGCTGCTCAAACTATGCGAAAAGTTCTGTTCCAGAGCCGAGAAAGCCCAGGTTCACCAGGAAGATGCATAGCGGCCCCCGCCTGCGTCCAACCCCTCAATAATCTATATTTTTATGTGACTGTGGCCCTCCCCCAGCCCCCCTCCCGAGGCACGCTTTTAGGACACCGTGCGGTAGGTCCCTCACCTGATCTGCTTCTTGGGAAACCGGCAGGAAGCCTGGGCCCGGGCCCACGTCCACCCCAACCTCTCCGGCTGAGCTCTGGAGACCGCACGGCAACACCTTGCTATTTATTAAATCACAGTGATTTTTCTTAACCACGTCTGCCCACGTATTTGTGCCACAGCAGCCCCCGCACGAGGAAGAGGCCTCGTGTCCCCGACCGTAAAGTGGGGGGCTTTGTACCCTTTTGTTAAGGGCTCTGCAGGCGCCTGGTAAGTAGTTTTCCTATGGGTGGCCCCGGGGGGATCCCCACGCAGCCGTTCGTTCACGACCCACCGCATCTGGGGCGAGAGAGAGTCACGCCCCGGTGGCCTCAGCGAAGGCCTGGCCTTTTCCCTCTGGAACTGGGACCGGGGTGCTTGCCAGCCCCCATGAGCATGAGCCCCCGGGGCCGGTCTTACAACAGGCCTGCCCGCCCAGCTCCAAAATGCAGAGCCCACAGGGGGCAGGAACCGGCCATGCAGACCCAGCCGTGGAGCCCTAGCTTTCGTGAAATGAGGCCACGGCTGTAACCCCGCCCCCACCCCCCAGTTATTAGCCTTTTCCAGAGAAACCCAACCAACAGGAGGGGGAGGGAATAGAGACTGGTTTTAACAAAGTGACTCACAAAGTGACTGTCGGGCTGGCCTGCCCCCTGTGTTCGGGCAGGCGGGGTCTCCTGGGCAGCTCCAGGCAGAGACGGGCTCCCCTCCTCCTCCGGGATCCCGGGCCCTTCTCTTAAGCCTTTAAGGGACTGGATGAGGCTCACCCGCCCTCTGAAGGCAACCCTGCTCTCTTCAAAGTTTACCGATATAAATGTTAATCGCCCCCCCGAGAAACAGAGCTCACGGGAACATCTAGACTACTGTTTGGCCCCACGGCCGGGCGAAATGGACCCACAAAATAACCCTCACACCAGCTACGGTGGCGGTGAGGCCGGCCGTCTGGGCCCGGCCACGGTGAGGGAGGTCAGAGTGGACCCCTGTAGCTGCCAGGCAGAGTTCTGATTCCTTGCAAGTAGGATTTACGGCCTGGGTTGCACTGTCCTCTGAAGCCCCCACACGTGACCCCACAGCTAAATGAGGACACGCACATGTGCCGGGCCCGCAGAAACACGATCGAGAGGGCTGCCTGGAGGGGGAGGCCACTCGCACAAGGATGGTACCCGCCCAGCAGCTGCCAACCCTTGATGACCCCTCAGAGAGACAGGCCGACAACCTGCCCCGCGCACAAGCCTGTGCACAGCTCGACTCTGAGTCAGGACGCGTCCAAGCAACGTGCTTCCCCTTCACAAATAATCAAGACCCACCCCGGCCGACCAATACTTAGACTGCGACATCAGAAAGTACCCTATTTCTACCGTCCACGATAGCCCGAGGTAGACTGCAAATTAAGAGATGAAATAAACACTCTGTGAGTTCGACCCCCGCGTCGGGCTCTGTGCTGACAGCTCAGAGCCTGGAGCCTGTTTCAGATTCTGTGTCTCCCTCTCTCTGACCCTCCCCAATTCATGCTCTGTCTCCCTCTGTCTCAAAAGTAAATAAACGTTAAAAAAAAAAATAAAAAAAAAAGATGAAATAAACAAGTGCTAAAGCAAAACAAATAAAAACAAGACACAACGCCAACCATCAAGTCCAATGAATACGTCAGACTACACGCATCTTTTCATCAAAATACAGAAGACTTAGCTGGATTTCCACTTGTAAAACACCCACCCTTCAACAGCAAAGGGACATTCACCAAAATACACAGAGGAAAGAGCAGAGATCAGTGAAGTCAAAGACACGGATAGAAATCAAAAGCTCGTTTTTTGAAAATACCAATAAGATCGCCAGTCTTGCTGGGGCGCCTGGGTGGCTCAGTTGGTTGAGCATCCGACTTCGGCTCAGGTCACGATCTCACGGTCCGTGAGTTCGAGCCCCGCGTCGGGCTCTGGGCTGATGGCTCAGAGCCTGGAGCCTACTTCCAATTCTGCGTCTCCCTCTCTCTCTGCCCCTCTCCCGTTCATGCTCTGTCTCTCTCTCTCAAAAATAAATAAATGTTAAAAAAAAAAATTAAAAAAAAAAAAAAGATCGCCAGTCTTGCTAAAGGTTTACCAAAGGGAGACACACATGACCTCTGTTAGGAACGGAGGTGGTCTATCATGAGAGCCCCCTCCAGTGAATTCACAAGTTAGAGGAAATGAACCAGTTCCTTGAAAACCACAAGCTACTAACACGCACTGAAAAGGCAGGAACCCGAGTAATCCTAGAACGTGTGAGGACAGGGATGTAGTTAAAACCGATCCCCCAAAAAAGAAACCTTGCGACTTCTGACACCAATCCAGAAGCAAGTTAATGAAGAAAAGATGGTCATTTCAGCTAATGGTGTGGGGACAGACATCTGCGGCCGAGAAAAGCCACCCTCGACTCAGACCTCACGCCCGCCACACAAATGAACTCGAGACACAGGCCAAAACAGAAAAACGGGGCAGAAGAATCCTTGGGATCCCGGGTTAGGCAGAGTTCTTAGACATGACCCCACAAGACTACCCCTAAAAGGTAAGAAAATTTGAGAAAATACCCTGTAGGGGAATTACTGGATCACACAGTAATTCTATTTTTAACTTTGTGAGGAACCAAAGAGAACAAAAATGCTCATTCAAAAAGATATATACAGGGGCGCCTGGGTGGCTCAGTCGGTTAAGTGTCCGACTTCAGCTCAAGTCATGATCTCACAGTCTGTGAGTTCGAGCCTCGCGTCGGGCTCTGTGCTGACAGCTCAGAGCCTGGAGCCTGCTGTGGATTCTGTGTCTCCCTCTCTCTCTGCCCCTCCCCTGCTCATGCTCTGTCTCTCTCTGTCTCAAAAAATAAATAAAAAACATTAAAAAAAAAAAAGATATATACAACCCTATGTTTACTGCAGCATTATTTACAATAGCTGAGATACGCATCAGCCCCAATGTCCTTCGGTCGATGAATGGATCAAGATGTGGGGTACACACACACACACACACACACACTGCAAGAGTACTCAGCCATAAAAAGAATGAAATCTTGCCATTTGCAGCAACACGGGTGCCTAGAGAGTATAACGCTAAGTGAAATAAGCCAGACAAAGACACGTGTCCTATGATTTCGCGCCTAAGTGCCGTCAAAACCAAACAAACGAATGAACAAAGAACAAAAGAGACAAACCAAAAGTCAGACTCTTAACTCCAGAGAACAAACTGATGTCACCAGAGGAGGGGGAGGGCGGGGAAATGGATGGAACAGGTGAAGGGGATTATGGGTAAGGACTTACCATGAGACGCACGGGGTGACGTACAGAAGTGCTGAGTCACCGTCTTGTACACATGGAACTAATATCACTCTGCAATCCAACTATACTGGAATTAAAAAAAAAATTTAGGTACAGACCTTAAAGAACTCCAAGAAATATAGAGAATTGTTGAATCATTGTGTTGTATACCTGCAACTAACCTAACATGGTAAATGAGGCTTGAATAAAAAAAAAAAGTTTTTTTAATCCAGGAAAAAAAACTAACTGGATTCCACCAAAAGTGAAAGCATTTTGCCCATGAAAGTCACTAGTGGAGAGAAAAAAAAAAAAGACTGGAAAATAACGTATTTTCAAATCACAAACCCAACAATCGACGCTGATCCAAAATTAAAAAAAAAAAATTAAAATTTAACAATTAAAAAAAACAGAAAAAGGGCACAAGCTCTTAAGAGGGCATAGAGGCAGTAAACGCACCTCTCCGAATGGCTGAAAACACACCCAGGACACTGAGGGCCGGTGAGGATGTGGGACAACCGGCGCCCGGATGTGTCGCAGGGCAGGGAGGTACCACAGCCGCTCTGGAGAACAGGCTGATGGTGTCCCATCTGGTCAAACGCACGCTTAGCCTGTGACCCAGCCTCGCCACTCTAGGCACAGACCCTCGTGCCCACGGCAGCGTCACTCGGAAGAGCCACATCTTACAACCACCCACGCCTCCTTCTGCCGACGAGCGGCCCCCCCACAGTGGAGGGCTCAGGAGCGTCCACGTCGCATCCTGGGTGGATCCCCTGGGTATCACGCCGAGTGGCAGAAACCCGTCTTACTGGTGACGTATGGTACGGTTCCATTTACCTAACATCCTTGAAGTGACAAGGTGACAGAGCGGATGACAGGTTGTCAGGGGTCAGCGTTAGGAGGGCGGGACTGGAAGAGGGGGAGCAGGAAGGAGTTTGGGAAGCAAATGGGACAGTTCTGGATCCTGGCGGTAGCGAGGGTCACGTCAATCTCTACATGTGATCAAGTTTCCCAGGACTGATGGCAGGGGTCCCCAAGACCACCGTCAGGCTCAGTGAGGATGACCAGAAACTCTGTTCTTGGAACACTGCCGGTCCACCCCGCGGCTGGCGCTAATGTGTATCCTCCCCCGTAACAAGCTTGACCAACAGTCTAACAGGTTTCGGTGAGTTCTGTCTCTTCAGGGAACTGTCCAACCTGAGGGCGGCTTGGGGGGCCCTCAGACCGCGGAGTGGGTGTCGGGAGGCTTGGGCAGACTTTGCCATCTGGAAGACTGTGCCCCTAACCTTGAGTGTGCCTAAAAGCAGGGGCTTTGGAAAAACTGGTGGCATTCGAATAAGGTCTATGCATCATTGCTGATATCGTGCCGATGCCAGCGTCCTGCTTGGGTGGCTGTGCTCTGATGAGGGAAGATGTTTTCATTAGGCGAAGCTGGGAGAGGAGTGCCCAGGAACTCTCAGCACCAGTTTTGCAGCCTCTAGGTCGATTCAAGTTACGTCAAAATACAGTTTATAAGAAAAAAAAGACTCAGAAAAATCAAGCTAAAATATACCAGGCAAACTCCAAGTAATACACACAGCCGCGTGACATCATTAACGGCAGGCAAGATTAAGATCGAGGCCAAAAGCATGAGGGAAGGCAGGGCAGGGAATTCAACGAGATATATTCACCACTGAAAGTCCAACGGGCCTGGGCACACGGCAACTCAACATCCACACTCACAGGGCACCGTACGGCAAATGTAGGAAGACACACAGGGAATTCATTCAGGGACTCTACCTGGTCACAGGGAAGGGCACAACTAAAACCACAATCCCAAGTAGACAGGACATAGGTGGCTCCCCTAATTACTATTTATTAAAACTGAAAGTGAACAGCCCCATTTGTAGGAAAATTCTCCAGCCTACAAAAATTTCTAAACTCTTGGCTCCAAGTGGAAAGCTCTGAGTACGGGGGCGCCTGCGGGGGCTCCGTCGGTTGAGCCTCCGACTTCGGCTCAGGTCACGATCTCACGGTTCGTGAGTTCGAGCCCCACGTCGGGCCCTGTGCTGACAGCTCGGAGCCTGGAGCCTGCTTCGGATGCTGCGCCTCCCTCTGTCTGCCCCTCTCCTGTGTGTGTCTCTCTCTAAGAGAAATAAAGATTTAAAAAAGAAAATCCAGAAGCCAACCACGAACCCAGAACACATCTATCAGAGTCTATACAGCACTACCAAAGAAGGCAGAGCTCAAAGAGAAAAGTGATACCTCTATATATGCATTTACTTCCATTCTTCATGTAGGAACTTAACAATCGACTCAAACTGGAAAAAGAAACGAACAGCAGGAGATACTATAAAAGCAAAATTAATTTAAAAGAAAAACAGAATTGCTACAACATAATGTAGGAAAAATGGAAGTAAAATGCCACAGCTCAAAAGATTTCACGTAGTCTGGTCAAACGTACGTAAGTTAACTCGAAAACTTGCATAAGATGAAAAACTTACCAGGATATAAAAAATCGTCAGAATGGATTTTATTCTTAACCGACTGAGCCCCCCAGACGCCCCAGACTAACCTATTTGAACACACACGTACTGAACCCAGTCCAACTGAATTCACACATTCGAAGCTTGGCAGTTTAAATACAAACCAGCTTGGGGCGCCTGGGTGGCTTAGTCGGTTAAGCGTCCGACTTCAGCTCAGGTCATGATCTCGCAGTCAGTTCGAGCCCCACGTCGGGCTCTGTGCTGACCGCTCGGAGCCTGGAGGCTGTGGATTCTGTATCTCCCTCTCTCTCTGCCCCTCCCCTGCTCATGCTCTGTCTCTCTCTGTCTCAAAAATAAATAAAAACATTAAAAAAAATTAAAGAAAAAATAAATACGAACACTGCTCAGCAGCTAGAGCCCTACTGATTTGGGTTCCTTATTTAAAAGGGAAAACCTTTTTATAACATTCACCATCTAGACGGAAATTTTTAACGTAATTACAGATGGATCCTTCCTTTACGTGGAAATGTATCTGAAAAGCACCCTGCTTCACGGTAAAAGGCCAGGTGCATTTCCATCAAAGTCAGGAATGGCGAGGGCCTATCACTGCTACTGAAGTTCTTAAAGAATTTGCTGATACAATTAAGAGAAAGAATAAAACGCCTAGAAAGTGCAGAGTAGGGAAAGTATCCTCATTTCCAGGTACACAATCGTTTACGATTGCATTCAACACGCTGTATGTACCTACCTCTCAAACTCGCACAGACTCCTGTATCCGTCAGATCTCAATAAGGCTGGAGGGAAAAAGAAGAAATCACAGGGGCCAAAACACGAAGCCTGGGGACTCCTTACAAAGGCCCACTCTCAGGTCCCTCCCCAGCCCTGCCATCTGCACCTCAGGAGGCTTTCTAGAGAATTCTGAGGCCCAAGGTTCAAAACCCCCAGACCACAGAATTCAGCAAGGTAGCTGGGGTACAAAACTAAGTAGAAAAATCAAGGGCTTTCCTATGTTTAAACAATCCTCAGGAGGGAAAAAAAAAAAAAAATCCATATACAGTGCCGATACTAATGACAAAATCTACATCGCAAACTTCGACGTTCCCATCCTCGGGGACAGGAGGAAGCCACATGCACCAGATGTCCGCCCTGCCTGTGCCAATCTACATTCGATGCGGTCTCCAAAATACAACCATCAAACTTTTTAGAAGGGTTACCAGCGGTCGGAGAAAATCACCAGGCAGGCATAGGGAGGAACATTCCAAAAGAAACCCGGAAGTCATCGGGGAACAGCTCTGGCATTTTTTATCATAAAACACCACGACTTAAAGCATGAGGTAGAGACTCAAGTTCAAAGAGACACTCAGGTGATGAGACAGACAGAACTTCTAAGTCAGTGGGAGAGAAATGTACCACTTAACATAAAAGATACTGGAATTTATTTTGGGACAAGATAGAGGTACATTTGAAAATACATTTTGAATGGGGGCGCCTGGGTGGCTCAGTCGGTTAAGCATCCGGCTCTGGCTCAGGTCACGATCTCGCGGACTGTGGGTTCGAGCCCTGCGTCAGGCTCTGTGCTGACGGCTCGGAGCCTGGAGCCCGCTTGGGAGTCTGTGTCTCCCTCTCTCTCTGCCCCTCCCCTGCTCACGCTCTCCCTCTGTCTCAAAAATAAACAACACATTAAAAAAAAAAAAAACTTTAAATACATTTTGAATGGATCAAAAATTTAGAAGGAAAAATGCAAAGCGGAGGGGCAGCAGCAGACAACAGTATTTTTTTTTTTAAATCACAGAGTGGGCAAAAACTTTCCAAGCATACCACAAATCTCAGAAGCCTTAAGGGGAAACGCTGGCTAAATGGGACAAAATGCGAAATTCACGTATAGAAAAATCAAGTCCGACAAACTGGAGAAAAATACTTGGCATGCAAGTCACCAGCTACTTTGCTTCGTTCCAAAAAGCACTCTTGCACATCAGTCAGAAGAAAACCGACACCCTAGGACACCAGGAGGGCAGGACACAGACGGCTTTTGAAAAAATGAAGCTGAGACGTGATGAGGTCCACGAAAACGAAGTTTTAACACAGTGTCCACACCAACGCAGCAAACAGGTGCTCCCGTACGGCAGGGCTATAAAACCTCAAAAGAGGTTGGCTCATGTGTCAGCCTCTAAATTAAGAGGCATTTTTTGGATCCAACCATTCAACTTCTATGAGTTTCTTCTTCCCGACAAAAATCACAGATGGGGAGACTCAGTGATCTCCACCAAAAAAAATTAGAGCGGGGGACACGCCGTCGCGGAAAACACAGTTACGCCGGGTGTGCAAGGAGTCCCCTCGTGGTTTTCTCATGAGTGGCTTTGCCTCTCGGGGGGAAAAGAGCTGGACGGAGATGTAAGGCTGCGTGTTTCAAGCTTCCTTACCGTGTACACATTTGGCCGTTTTTTTAAGTAAAGGAAACGTGGTAGGGAAAAAACGAACAGTAGCCATGGTCGCACCACAAATGACATGCTTTTGCCTCCTCCTTCGAGCCCCTTCTGGGGCCCTGATTGGTCTTCACTCAAGGGGAAACCACAGGTCCCCAATTCTTATTCCTGTTGCACAAAAGAACCAACTCTTCATTCGTTAAGACCACATGCTTCCCAGGCCCGGTGGCGTGTGTGCAGAGAGCAGGTCTGTGTGCGGAGAGCCTCGCACCAAAAGAGGTCACTGGAAGGCTGAACGCCCCCCCCCCCCACCCCGACCCCAGGGTGCCGAGCGCCCGGAGGCACCCGCCCTTCCTCGTGTGAGGGTGCCGTTTTGGGAGACAGACCCTGGGCTATAATCTGAACTCTGATGAGAATGAGCACAAGGAAGGAAAGCGGGTCGACAAAGTTTGACCCTCTCTGACAGCCATAAACAGAGGCAGCAGTGAAGGTATTTAAGGTGCAGATACCAACAGACCTGTTATTAGTGAGGTATGGAGTTGCATTGACAAAAAAAATGTTTTTTTATATTTGCTCCTTTTTGAGAGAGACAGAGCGTGAGTGGAGGAGGGGCAGAGAGAGGGAGACACAGAATCGGAAGCAGGCCCCAGGCTCCGAGCTGTCGGCACAGAGCCCGACGCAGGGCTCGACCCCACGAACCTTGACATGGTGACCTGGGCTGAAGTCGGACGCCCGACCGACTGAGCCACCCAGGTGCCCCTAGTTTCCTTTCCGTGAAAGCAAATTCCTCAACAAACTGAAGGTGCAGAACCTACCTAACTCTTTGGATTTACAGTAATAAATAGAACTTACTACAGAGAGATCTGAGGATCCTAATGTCCTGTGCCTGGGATCCCAGCAGCTGAGAACAGCACACAACGTCCCAGAGAAGCTTATTAAAAGCCGGCTTTTTTAAGCGGAATCAACAGTGACCAAGTCTGTGTCAGGCCGCTGTCCCTCTGCGCGCTGGCCGGGCACGCGCGTGCCTTCTAGTTTGCAAGGCCCTCCGCTCGGCCGGGGGGGAACTGCCGAGGGCAGAGTTGGAGGAGCCTCCCAGCAGCAAAAGCAGAAGCTGAAAAATGCCCACAGCTCAGTTGACGATGGCTTAGAATCCGGTGATGTCGATCATAAGGGCTCACGTTCTTCGTCAGATCTGCACAAAGTGAAAAGTCTACGGAGAGAGAGGCGAGGAAGAGATACGTGTTCTGGAGACGAGCCCAAAGCTCTTCGGGGAAGGACTTCTCGGTGCGGCCGGTTTCCTCCGGCCCGTCTCAGACACCCACCGAGATCGCAGTTAGCAGCCAGGGTCACTTGCGTTGGTTCAAAGGGAGTCCCTGCTATCGAATGGCCCGTCACCCCCCTCTGGGAGCCGCTCTGGGCCAGAGGGCGACACCGAGGAGGCGGTGCCAGGGTCAGGAACCCGGGTCAGTACTTCCCAGTGACTCACCACCAGTTTATGCGACGGGACGTGGCGGGGCTTCCGCCCTCCCCACGTTTAAATCGGTGACAGAACCACACCTTGGCAGTGATCCGTAGATCATGGCACAGGCTCCTTTAAAACCAGCTGAGAAGGGCGGATGTGGAGCCCGGTTGCAAACCACTGAGGACCCGTCACACGGGGACACCTGCTCTCTCCCGAGTCTTTGGCTCTCCCCGCGCCCCCCCCCCCCCCCCAGCGCACTGTTTGTGGTGCTTTATCAACACAGAAATTTCATGTCAGGGGAAGCTGCTCCCCAAAAGCGCGGAGACCCACACCCCAATGCCTCTGTCCTTGACCAGCTGAAATGCAACATCAAGGCACGGTTTCGGCTGCAGGGTCCTGAGCAGAGGCCAAGCGCCCCCGGCACATGGAACCCGTCCTGCGCGGCAGGAAGGCACGTGCCCGTCAAATGCCCGGCAGAGGCCTTGGCGTCTGTGTCCCCGGATTGCCTCGGCAAGAAACAACACAAGGACCAGGTTGCTGGCCCTCGGGACTTCTGGGAGAGGCACTGACCAATCCGTATATGGCAGCAAAGGAATTTTACTGCATTCCGGGTGGTCCCGGACGTGACCAGCATGGCTCTGTGTTGAACTTGAGCACGTGCGACAGAGGGAGGGGTCTGCAGGCTGTGCCCTGCACAGGGCAGCCGGGATC